CAGGCCGTTGCAGACCCGCTGCCCCGACAGAGCCTGACGTCAGAGCAGGGAGGCGGAGGCCCGGTGCAGGCCGCCACGCTGGCCACGCTGGCCTTGAAAGGTGTCCCCCGGTGACACCTGTCCCGAGGGACCTCGGCAGCCAGCCTGGTCTGGGGCAGCTGGCCCCACGCGTGGGGGATTTGACGCCCCGGCGCGGGAAGGGCGTGGAGGCCGTGGGCTGTTGAGCCTGGCGAGCCGACTGCCGGGGGGGGGGTGACAGGCTGGCGGGTCCGGGGGGGGGGGGGGCTACTGTCTTGACCTCGGTGGCTCCGGGTGGCAGGCCGGGCCCAGGTTTGGCTTCAAATATGAGAAGACATTTTTGTCAGAGCTGTTCGAGGCTTGACTCAGATGGGTACTGAGGGTCCCGTGGCTGAGGGATGCCGTGGGGTGCGAACTCACCTGCACCAGGATCCTGAGAAATCAGGTCGCTCCATGAGCCTGGGCTGGCCAGCAGCCTCGGCTGCGAGGGCTCGGGGAGCCCGCCGTGCCTCTCCGAGCCGCTATCCTCGTGTGAAGTGGATCGTGAGGCCAAAGGAAGCCTCAGCACACTCCCTGACCCCAGAAGCACGCCTTCAGGAGCGGGGGCCCCTCCTGGCCAGTCGGGGCCCTGCACCCCCACCCTGCCCTGCACACCCTGTTCCGCGTCCTCACCACCCTCTGCAGGGCAGAAAGCGGTGAGCTTTGCTTTCCCCGTGGGGGAGGGGTGCGCCAGTGGCGAGCAGACACCAAGGCCAGGCTCAAATGGCCAGTGGACCGCCTCGGGCCCGTGTCAGGGAAGGCGGAGACCCGATGGAGTGCGGTCATGGGCTGTGCAGATGTGGGGGACGGGGCGCCCAGTCAGAGACCCAGGCCCTGCGGTGCGGGTGTGCCCGGGGCCTGGCGCAGCGGTCAGCTCCTGACGGACGCAGGAACCGGTCTCTCGGGACTGTGGGCTCCATCTCGCGGCTCAGCAGCTGGCCCCTTCTCCCTGCCCTGCAGCTGGGGCTCATGGCACCAGAAGTTGAAGGCTTTTCCTTACCAGCCAGGAGGCCAGAGTGACGGCGCCCACGTTACAGACGAGGAAGAGCCCCGGGCAGCTCGAGGAACCCCAGTGGGCCCCGGGAGCGGCAAGACGTGCTGTCCAGCCCCCAGGGGCAGCGGGCTTTGCGTGGGGGTGGGGTGGAAGCCCCCATCCCCGGCGAGGTGGGCGGTGGGGCCGTGGCCGCCCGCCGGGAGCCCTGGCTGGGTGCCGGGAGTCGCGTTCCCCCGACCCCAGACGATGGCGTTGATGTGGGCAGTGCCAGGGCGCCCGGGGGAGCCTTGCCCAGCCCGACCCAGGGAAAAGCCCACGTCAGGGCTCACCAGCTGCTGCCAGGGAGGTTTCCCGGGCTCAGGCTCCTGCCCGCCCGGTCCACTCCCGGACGCCCCACGCCCCGCGGGAGTATGGCTGGCTGTGCAGCAGGCAGGGCCTGAGCTGACGCGGTGCCCGGTGCAGGGGGCGCCAGGCTCTGTCCTCGCCGGAGTCCGGGCGGCCAGCTGAGTTTTGGGAGGGCCTGTGCGCTGGCAACCCGCAGCGTGGGCGGGGGCTGCCCGACCCTCCTCCTGGGCGCAGAACCAGGCCCGCGCCCAGCTCGGGAGGCCGGTTCGCCCGTCGTCCTGTGCCTGGAGGGTGGGCAGGCTGGGCAGCAGCCCCCACTGTCATCCCCACTGTCGTGGCGCGTCCGCTCTGGCTCCACTCAGACGCACGCTCGTCTGTCTCCGTCCCTTCGCCTCGCCCTGCGCGGCTCCCTCGCCTCCTTCCCGCCCCCGCTCAGGTGGGGGTCAGGGCCCTGCTGCCCCCATCGCTGGGCCTGGGGGCTCACCCTCCAGGAGCAGGGGAGGACAGGACCCCGGGGGC